ATTAGTTAGAATACTTGAACCTAGCTCTCTCTCTCTCTCTCTCTCTCTATATAGATATATATATATATATATATATATATATATATATATATATATATATATATATATATATATATGGTTAGGTTTATGTGAGACGATCTAATTTTGTGAAACAGTGAGACCATTTTTTTCTAATAAAATATTCATATATATATATATATATATATATATATATATATATATATATATATATATATAGATGTAGGTTCAAATATTTCTCACATCTATTGTGTGCTAGAATGCACCAATAATAATTTAGTAATAATTATATGTATATTAAATGTTATCCATACTTATAACTCATTTTTATGGAAACTAATTAAATTCGTCATTAATGTCAACAATAATATTCTTTCGGAATGAATTCATATCTAGAAGAATTAGAGTGTATTCCAGCAGAATGAGAGTGTATTCTAGTAGAATACACTCTCGTTCTTCATATTTCATGCAACTTTATTGTATTTTAAGTGAATGAGTCCTGAAACCAATGTTTTAAAAATCGGTTTGAACCGGCCGGTCGAACCGGTTAGACCGGGAATCGGGGAAGGGAGCGGTTCAATTATCACCGGTTTTATGTCTATTTCTGAACTGGATCGAACCGGCCGATTTTTATAAAAATCCGGTTGAACCGGTTCAATTAAACCGGTTGAACCGGTTAAATTGAATAAAAACACATGGAATCGAAACTTTTTGCATAATAAACTTTGGTAGTTTTTTCACATTTATTAAAATTTATCTGAATAAAAGCACATGATAAATGTTATGAAGTTTTTTGATGCATTTATATTCATCTACGACTTTATTTTCTTTTTCATGCATGTGGATTGACGTAAAACTTATGGTTATGAGTTATTTTAATGTATTTAGAATGATCTACAACTTGTTTTCATGTATTTTAATGTTTGAACTTGTGGACATCATATTCTTGATTTGTGTATGTAGGTATGTGTACGAAAATACGAAAAAAGATGAAAACTATAGAAACCGGTTTACTTAGCGGTCGAACCGGTTGAACCGGAAACCGATCACCATACCGGTTCAACTAAAAAAACGGTTTTTAAAACATTGCCTGAAACAAAATAGTAACTCATATATAAAAACCTAGATGCGAATTCATTCTGAAAGAATGTTATTGCTGACATTAATGACGGATTTAATTAGTTTTCATAAAAAGAGAATTATAATTATGGATATCATTTAATATACATATAACTATGGAAATCATTTAATATCTATATTTATTTAATTAAATAAATATTTAATTTACTAAATTCCTATTGGTGCATTCTAGCACACAATATATGTAAGAAACAAAATAACCTAGCCCTATATATATATATAATATATATATATATATATATATATATATATATATATTTGACATTGAAATATTCTAATATTCTTAAACAATAATTTTAACATATTTGACATTGAAATATTCTAAAACAATAGAATATTAGAATATTTCGCTAAAAAAAATTGGTCTCACGGTCTCACAAAAATATGTTTTTCTCTAATAAACTCTTATATATATATATATACACACACACACACACACACACACACGTTCCGTTGATATTTCAAAAAATATAGAGATCTTGAAATTCAACCTCAACCACTTATTTCTCATTTGTCGTTCTAACGCTTCGATGTATCGGTACGACGGGAGAGTTATAATCGTAAATGATTATTCAACGTCGTTCGTTCATTTCCACCCACCACCACAACCACCATCGTCATCACCACTACAACCACCTCTGCCACCAACTGACTCCATCACCGTCACCTCTGCCACCACCACGTCCTCTGCCACCGACCACCATAATATTATATGATTACTTAATCTATTAACACACATATAAGTATAATCATTTATGATTAGGCATACATGTATAATCTTATATGATTATATCTCTTTTCCATATAATCCATTATGATTAGACATACGCCGTTGTTGCCAATATGTTGGAGCGTTAGAGCGGCAAATGAGAAATATGTGGTTGAATCTCAATATCTCAATTTTCTTATAATCTTAAGTGAACCGTCCTCTCTCTCTCTCTCTCTCTCTCTCTATATATATATATATATATATATATATATATATATATATATATATATATGGTGAGGTTCAATAGAGAACCATAATTAACAAGGATCAAGGAACCAATCGTGAGCGTCAGAAATCATAATGATCAAAGGCCAAGGAAATAGATGTATACTTGTACATTGCACGAACACACACACACACACACACCATATTATACCAAAAAATCCACTCCTTACCAAAAAACCCACCTATTTTTTTCGTTTATAATTTTTTTAGGCCACATTTTTTATTGAAAAAAAAAACTGAATATGCCGTTGTTTTCGATTTTTCGTTATCTTTCCATAGAGATCCATATTTATTTTTTTAGTCTTTATAGACCCTCAAACTCAAAAAGTATCTGTCTCTCATACCCTTATTCATTTCCTAATTTATTTAGCCAGTAAAATAGGTGACGTGGCCGTTGAATTAGGTGGTCAATTATTAATTGTGCCAAGTGTGTTATTCCAGAGTGTAAAAACTGGTAAATAATTTTAATTCATTTTCCTAAGTCGTACGTCTTATAAGAAGTGGAATGGAGATTTGAACTAGGGTTTTTAACCATCTTAGCCACTACTGAGATTACACTGCTGCTGTCGAAGGTATTTTACTCTTTGAAGATTGTTTCACTGTTGCATGGCTGAGAACGATAACGAAGCTGTATATCTGAGAGTTCATCTACACTACAATGGTGTATTTGTTCGACATCCTTCTGGGTATGTTGGTGGGAATCAGTTCCTCTTCACTGATGTTGATTGGGCAAGTATGGATGTAATGGACTTTTGTGATTTTCTTGATAGAGCTATCGGGGAAGAGTTTCAAAACGTCTACTACTGCTTACATAACATCCCTTTATCTAGAGGGATTCGTCCTATTGTAGATGATTTGGATTTTGCCCAGTTTATAGATAGCAGGTATGAATACGGGGAAATTTCAGTTTATGTTGATCATAATGGGAATGGGTTGGAGGAATGGTGGGATGATGACATGAATCTGGTTGTTAGTGAAGATAATGAAAGTGGGCTTGAAGATGATGGTGTACCTAGAAATGAAGAAAACACTGCCCCTGATGAAACCCATCCCAATGTAGGTCTTGAAGATGAAGTAATTGACATTGACAAAATACCTTTGAACAAGACGACTGGGGATGAGTTTTTTAGTAAGTTATGTCCTCCAGAAGGTGATATTGGTGACAATGAACTTGATGAAGAAGATGTTGAGATCCATTCCATTTTCAACCTTGATATGTAATGGAAGAGGCAAGTACCTGTTCTTGGGATGAAATTTGAAAGTCCAAAGCAGTTGAAAAATATGTTATGTAACTATGATGTGACAAATGGATACCAACTATGCTTCAAGAAGAATGACAGTAAAAGGTTGTTGGTGGTGTGTTGCAAAGGAGCTTGCCCATTCAAGTTGTGGGCTACATGGATGAAGCAGGAGGTGTCATTTCAAACAAGTCACTGAAGATTGAGCATAATTGTGCTAGAAACTACAAACTAGGATCAATTGTCACATACTCTTGGATAGGAGAGCATTATACTAAGGAAATTTTGCATACACAAAAGTTAACAATTAGACAATTGAGATTGGAGGTCATCAGGAAGTTTGGAATACATGTTAGTTTAAGTCAATGCAGAAGAGCAAAGGCACATGCCATTAATCTTATTGAGGGAACCCTTATTGAGCATTATGCAAAATTATGGTTTTATGGGGAGGAAATTAGAAGAAGCAATCCATGTTCAACAGTCAAAATGGATGTTCAATGCATGCCTGATGGTTTGAATTACTTCAGTAAGTTCTATGTATGTTTTGCTAATGTGAAATCTGGTTGGTTAGAAGGTTGTAGAAAGTTGTTAGGTATAGATGGATGTTTCCTTAAGGGTGTATGCAATGGGGAATTATTGTGTGATGTGGGTAGAGATGCTATCAACCACATTCCAGTCGCATGGGCAATAGTGTGTGTTGAGAATAAGGAAAATTGGATGTGGTTTTTAGAGTTGCCGAGAGATGATCTTGAACTAGGTATGGGCACTGGGTTCACCTTAATGTGTGACCAACACAAGGGTCTTATGGAGGCACTTAAGGATGTGCTTCGTTGTGTTGAGCATCGACAATGTGCAAGGCACATTGTGCAAATTTTAAGAAGAGGTTTGTAGGGGCTATTTTTGACAACCTTTTTTGGAAGGCTTGCAATGCAACAACACCACAATCTTTCAATGAATTCATGCAAAAAATTGAAAGATTAAGTCCGGAAGCCCATAAGCACTTGATGGAGAAGGAACCAAATACCTGGTCAAGAGCATTTTATGAGGTAGGGAGGGCATGTGCTGCAGTGGAGAATGGTATTTCTGAGAGCTTTAATGCAGTAATTGTTGAGGCCATAAGGAAACCAATAATCATTATGTTGGAGGAGTTGAGGTTATATATCATGGAGAGGATGTTTAACTTGAAACACAAGAAATGGACAAAGGATGTAAGTCCCGCAATAAGGCAGTTACTAAATGGTTTAAAGATTGAAGCTAGGTAATGGCAAGTGCTCCCAAGTGGAATAAACAAGTTTGAGATAAGAAATGAAGGTCAAGCTTATGATGTGGATCTTGACAACAGGACATGTTCTTGTAGGTTATAGCAACTAAATGGATATGGGTGTGCACATTCAATTGCTACAATCTTATTTCTGAATAGGGATGCGGACACCTATGTAGATCCTATTTTCTGTAGATGAAACTACAATAAAACATACTTGAATAATATTTTGCTTATGAATGGTAGTAACATGTGGCCAGAGACATCATTCACCCCGCCCTTACCTCCCCAAAGAAGAAGGATGCATGGAAGACCTGCAACAAAAAGGAAGAGAGATGTGATAGAGAAAATGGGGAAGCATAAGGTATCAAAGAAGGGTAAACCCATTGTGTGCAGTGCTTGTCATATGCCTGGCCACAACAAGGTGACTTGCCCCACAACAAATAAGCCAGTTAAGCTCAGAGTGAAAAGAGCAAAGATAACCAAGACTACACAAGTATATTGAAATGATGTTGTCATTTTAGCAAAGCAAATTTGTAAATCTTAAATATTGACATGTTACCTTGTACATGAATCTGTAGGTGAAGGGTTAGTGAATGGTGGTGCAGTAGGTGTGAAAGGATAATTCAATAGTGGTGTAGGTGGTGTGCATGGTGGTGAAGGTGGTGGAGTGCATGGATCAGTGAATGGTGGTGTATGAGTTGTGCATGGTGGTAAAGGTGGTGGAGTGCATGGATCGGTGAATGGTGGTACAGGAGGTGTGCATGGTGGTGAAGGTGGTGGAGTGCATGGTGTTCAAAAGAAAAAGGTATTTTGAAACTTTCCAAGTTTACCCCTAATATTGTTTTAAGTATTTTGAATGGAAGGGTAATATGATAATTTTCTTATTTAAAACTTTCCAAGTATACCCCTAATACTGTTTTAAGTATTTTAAACGGAAGGGTAATATGGTAATTTTATTATTTAAAACTTTCCAAGTATACCTCTAATATTGTTTTAGGTATTTTGAATGGAAGGGTAATATGGTAATTTTATTATTTATAGGTTAGAGTAAGAGGCGTGGGGGTTGTTTTTAGAACAAGAAAGCCATCTGAGAGAATTTTGAATACTAAACTTGCAAAAGCAGTGTATGGGAAAAATGGTGAAGGCAACTCAACAACAAATGCAGTGGATATAGATTAGGATTTGTCTCTTTACACATGTGTCATGTTTTGAACCTTTATGTTATGTACTAGTTTATGTTGTTGCTGCATGGGGAACATTTGTATCTTTTGAACCTTTTGTTAACTTCACATGGATGAAACATTTCTGTCGTTTGAACCCTATGTAATTTAACTTTATGACTTATTGTTCTAATATCACATGTGATGGTACTATTTTATCAGTATTCAATCCTTATTTTGGTCCACAAATGTACACTCCTCTCAAAACTCAATCACTTTTAATCCGGATGTGGATCCCATGTGATGTTCCCTTTTATATGTGTGGTCCTCATTTGAATACAATACCTGATGCCTTTTACTTGTATTGGTCCACAAATGTACACTCCTCCCAAAACTCAATCACTTTCACTTGTCTGTTGTACCCATGTGATATGCATTATATTCAATTGTTTTGGTCCACAATAACCAGTGCCTTTTATCAGTATTCAATTGCACTTAACAAGACCATTCAGTGGAACAAAAGTATAGTAACATAAAGATGCTTGTTTCCATTATATACAAAAGTATATGGGGCATACAAAAGTAGCTTAAATTACAGGGACATTTACCAGACATGGGCATTTACATCCATACAAATACTAACCTATATCCTACCCACCAAAAACCACAGAAGATCTTCATATCCCTAACCCCAAGTTTACAAAAAGGGAGAACATCTATACCACCAAAAACCATAAACTACCCTCAATCCCTTAGCCCCAAGCATCTCTATCCCACCACCTTTGCTTTCTGCATCATCAACACAGCAGCAAGAAGCGCAAGAAACATCATAGCAATCCTGAACTTCATCCTCACGAACTTCAACTCACCCCTCAATTGTTTGTTTTCTTCAACAGCCATGGCTAACTCACCATCACCAATTTCTTTAGCAGCAGTGGCTTCAGCATTCAGGTTCTCCAGCAAAGCTACCCTTCTCTCTAGTCTTGCAGCGTAACTAGTGTCTTTCATTAGTTTCAACTCATACTTGAGATTTTTAAAGGCATTCTTGTAGTGTGGTGTCAGCTCATCATCGATCCACTTGAAGTATTTACACTTCTCAGTTGCCATCTCCACCTACAAACAAAGTATGAAATATTCAGTCACACACAATACAAGCTCGTTCCACTGTTGACTTAATCGAGAACAGTAAACCCTAATTCCACAATCTCGACAACAGATTTAAAGAAGATAATGCTTACCAAAGAGTCAACGCAGTTGCGAAATCTACGAGTTGGATTCTTATCTAACATCGACATCCTTACTACGCTTAACATTGGATGACGACAAGCATACAGGTCATTGTCACGATTCCTAGTAGCGAGAACAATGTGGTTCTCAGATGATGATCCAGATGAGTATGCCATCGAAGGAGAACCTAATCGATTCTTAAGGGTTCGTGACCTGAAAACTAAATGTTATAAAGTGGAAATGATCTTGAATATCTTGTCTTCATTTAGGGCACTCTAAATAGCTTATTAATGAAGCTGATCTGTCACCTGCCAACTGTGTATCTATGTGGACAACATTGTCCACCTATGCATTAAATTAATGGATAACCGGCAATTATGTGTAAACTTTAGGATAACAGGTATAAAAGACAGGTGATTTTCGAGTTTGGGGGTCCATAAAAGCCAAAAAAAAAACATAATTGGTACTTTTAATTAAGGGATCATTTAATTGAATTTCTGCAATTAAGGAAATAAATAAAATATATTTGACCTAGTCTCTCTCTTATATCCTCTCTGATATTATTCTTTTTCACCTACAGGTAGATCGACAAAAGGACTCACGTCGCCTGCCTTCTTATTCTCTCTGCCAGTTATCGTTGTTATCGTCTAGGGAGGCTAAAAATGGATGATTTTCAGTTAAAGAACGCTAGGGTTTATCAATCATCGATTTTCAGTTGGCGGCTGCAATTAGGCTTTATCAATCATCGATTTTCACCATCATCATCACCGATCTCCATCGTTAGCCTCCTGTCACCATTGCCAACTGCCTTATCATCGGATTCAAACTTAATTGATGTTGGTGATCTTTTTTATTAGCGATTCAATGTATAAGAAAACCTAACTGGGGATGAATACAATCATTCACGCATAACAGGTAATTAATGAATCCGGTTAATATTTTTTTTGCTCGTTACATCTCTATTATTCATCTTCCTACACCAGCATCATCTTCATCACCGTTTTCTGCCACTATTCTATTTGATCAGGTAAACATATTCTTAAAACATCATACACTCATCCTCTCTACTTCTAATCAGAGGTAATCATATTCTTATATCCTTTTTAGCGAAATTTTGATATGTAATTAGGTAATGGTGTTCAAGGCATCTTTATTTTTAAATATATTTGATGTTGGTGCATTTAGTTGTTCATTTCATTAGTAATATTCTACAAAGCGTGATGATTTGTGTGTGCCCTAAAGGCGTTTGACGAAATGTCTAGTAGAAAAGATGTGGGTGGATTTCACTTTTTGTCACAATATTTTTGGTTTTAAAAAAATGTAATGACATAGAAATCTTGATATAAATGGTTGGTTAATATTTTTTCTTAGGAAATACATTTATTATTCCTTTTTTATTACGTGATGCATCTTTAGTGATAATACAGAAATGCAATATAAAATAGCAAATTTAAAAGGTTTTTAAATGACGCCATGAATACCTTATGCTTGAAGATCTTTTCATGCTTAGAATATTTTTGATGTCTTTTTAACACCTTCCAGGTTGGTGATAACGTTTATATAATTAAAATAGAGAAGATGATGATTAAAACATTGATATTTCATCCAAACTTGTGAGAAATACTCGAATTGCTCCTGGACCTTCACACACAAATATACTTATCTAGGTAATTTTATTTATTTTATTTATTTATGCTGCAACTTGATTATAGATGATAAGTTTTCATGGTTTCATTACATATACTACTAAAAATAAACTATTATACAATGTATTCTAACAGAATACTGATTTTTTTAGGAAAATCAAATACACAATATAGTAGATTCTGTAAGAATACATTATGCTTTGTATAGTGTATTATGTTAGAATACACTCGGTTAGAATTTAAAATGATAATTACACTTTAGGTTTAATGATTCTTTAAGAATGTCTATTAAAAATTTTATAATATATTTTGGTTACACAATAGTAATGGGTAATTGTATGATGCTATAAATGGTAATTGCATATATATTCTATCAGAATTAAATGATAACTACAATTTATATCTAATGATTCTTTTAGAATCTTTGTTTACATGTTAATTTTTTTTTTTTTTTGTAATAGATGTTTCTCTTGGATTGCCTATTATTCTTTTTCTATGAAAAAAGATCATATTCTATGTATTCTACCATAATATATAAAGTGATAGTTAATTGCAAATAACATGTTTTTAACCATTATTAGTTTTTGTTGTAGTTGTGATAGGAATGGCTGGAAGAATGCGTTGAAGACCTAATAGGAATAACTTGAAGAATGAATAAAGTTTGATCATACTCACAATTTTAAAATGTTGTTATTTTTTAAGAATTTTATTCATTTTTGTTGATATTCTTTTAGAATATGTATAATTATATTAAAATGTATAAGCCTTTTAATCTGTAAGAATATGTATGAATTTGTATTTAAGTTCGGATGTATAAGAATATATTAGAATGTTGTTATTTTTCAACCTCGGATTCAAGAATGTTGTTATTCTTCAATAATATTCTAATAGAATAAAATTCTGAAAGAACGTCATTCTAACAAAAAAATATTCTGACAGAATAAAATCGGTTATGTATACAAATTACGTTAGAATTAAAATTGAATTAATTAAAAAAAATTCAGATTTTTAAAATTAGGGGAATTAATTATCCCTAAAAATCCGAAAATTTCCTTTTATAAATGTAGTTAATTGTCCAAAATACCCTTTTGCTAAAATTTGTGTGATTATATGGTACATGTTATCCCATTGTAATATCATACACCCTCAAATCATGTCCATTGATTAATTTTATCCGTTGGTCCAGATCTGTGCATTCTGGCACACAATAGTTAGTAAAAACAAAATAACCTAATACATATATATATATATATATATATATATATATATATATATATATATATATATATATGAATCTAAATTAACAAATTAGTTTCTTAAGTAGGAAATAATGGGTGTCGTGTATCTCGTCGGGGTTTTTTTTTCATTATCGAAGGACATGGATGATGTTCCCACAACTTCCCGTCCCACTTCTCTACCTCGCTTGGTCGTGTCCCTAATTTGTGTTTGTTCCACTTCGGGGCAACTAAGCCAGTATGGCTTCCTTTTGTTCGATACTGAAAGGTAGGGTGGTGTTCCCGCTGGGTGCCACTTCAACAACCCCTCTACCCATCGTGAGCCCTCCCTAAATCCATTCCCACCACCTTTAGAATGCATGTTTAAACATCGACCACTTGATGTTATGTTATGTAGGGAAAAAGAAGAATTTTCTAATGCATGTATAAAACAACTTTTGCGAAATAAACTTTCAAATAACCATATTAACCGGATAAACAAGCTTCCAAATACACATGAAGACGAAAATTCATAAAGAAAATATTGTATTAAAGCCTGACATCACATTACTTACTAGATGAATATTGTGAACTAGTTGTGAGACCCAGTATTATATGGGTTAATTTAAAAAAAATTAAATATAAAGGTCAAAATATTTGAGAACTTTGAATTTATAAGAAAATAAGAAAAATAATGAATTATTATAATAGAAATGTTTTTTATCTTTTAAATTTAAACAAATAATTTAAATAAATAAAATAAATTAATAAGCTTTAATTTTAGGAATTTTGAAATTAAAAGGTAAGTTCATTAATGAAATTTATATTTATTTATTACTACATTTATTGCAAATATTACATGTGGAATTTAATAAAATAGAAAAAACTTATAAAATGACATGTGGAAAAAGAATTAATTCAAAATAATCACAAAATAACATTTTGACAAATTAAATGAGAATGTAACAAGTGGTAAAAAAAACATTCATTTATTAGAGATGATTACTTTTTCCTTGATCGTTATAGTCTGCTAGATTGGGGACAAAAAAACCTTCGTCATCTTATTCATTTGTTGTCCTTAAAAACTTGCACTTAATTTGTTGCAATATAAAGAGAGATAATCATGGGATAAATTTAACAACAAATATAATCATTACCTCAAATGATCAGTTGACAAGAAAGACAATGGTGTGTGATACCAACAGAATGATCAGTTGACAAGAAAGACAATGGTGTGTGATACCAACAGAAGCTGGTCAAGGTCAAAGGTGAGAAAGAATGCAAATGCAACTAACCCAACAAACCAAAGGCTGGACCATAATGGACCATGGTTCATTGAACTCTAATAATTGATCGTGCTAATAGTCAACAAAGTGTGGACCATTGATCTAGTGATCCCATACTGCCCAACCAAGCCACAACCATACACATATACGTCCAAAACAAAAAACAAGACATATGCCAACAGTCACATCAATTTATTGAAATCTTTTGCCTTGTCAAATCCCATAATTCAAAGTTAACCATTCCTTTATCCAAAAAGTCTGTTTCAGAATAATAATTTGAGAAGGACAATTTGTACTATAAGTCTACAACGACTCATATTTTAGCTAAAAATACCTCCTAACTTTCAAAGTAACCATTTTGTAAAAGATAAAAAACATCTCATGTTTTATGTAGCAAAATTCCAATTTTTAACAACTCCACCTTCATCCAAAAACATATAAGAGGCCAAATATTGGAACTGAAACTCCCATACTTGGTTGGTTGTTAAAATTTAAACCCTCAACTATTTGAAGAAAAATGTTTTAATCTTTTGTAGCTAGATGTGTTTCAAGTGTCACATGGTTGGTTGCCTCAAGTCTAATTTTACATATAATCTAATTCGTCATGGTCTCTTCATTTTCTTATTGAGATGTCCATGTGAAGATAAGCCACAGCAGCAACAAACAAAAAGAAGAAAACGGATGTCAACATCAATGGCTCTGCAAGCATGAACATCGGGTGGAAATTGTAGTAAACCTGCAAAAACAACCAACCAAAAAAAGGTTAATGTGCATAAAAAAAAAATAAAAAAAAAAAAGTAGTAAAAGAAAATAAAAAGTGGTTTTTAATCACCTGGAAATGAGAGTTGTGCTCAGGAACTACATTTTCCTTTTCCAAAACCACCACTGGTCTTCCAACAATATCAAGGTAAGTATACTTTGTCTGCAGAGATTAACAATGATGATTTAGTTTACAAATTATCAACTTTTTTAGATATAGTAGAAAACATAAGCTACCTCTGATAGGTGTTCTACAGAAAAAGGAACGATAACAGAGGGGTTCTTTGATCCTTCAGGAAGGACAACCTGAAACAGCATTCTACTTAATTAACAAAAGCAGCAAAGAACAATGAACAAGAGGATCTTAAAGATTTAAAAAAAAAAATTAATGATGATTATGTACCTTATTTGTTATTTTGTTTACCACTGTTTCAGCAATAGGACACCCAAAACTGAAGTTGAGGTAACGCCTACCATCATTTGACTCAAAAAGAAAGTCTTGAAGTGGGAGTCCATATCCAATGACAAAGGTGGCTCTCCAACCTCCTAATAAAGGATATCTTGGCTCTATTTCAAGTTCAGACTACATAAATTTTTAAATGAATATTTTAGTGTAAAGTTGTTTATATGAATGATCATTTTGGCATAAATGGGAAGAAATGAAAATGGAGATATAATAAGTTAATAACCAAATCACCTTGCTGTAACTTGTGCGTAAATGTGATGTTGAGATATTGCCTATGTTATCACGGTAGTAGACAGAGTGAACCCTTGGGGGTAATTTAGCTACAAGATGTTTGAATGAAGAGACACCACTGATAGTTGGCCTAGATTGATATTCAACCCTGCAAATTAATTAATCAATTAAGATCAACAGCAAAAAATGTCAAAAAGTAATTAAAAAAAGAACAAGAAGTATGTTCAATTCAACAGCTTATTGGAGATATGACCTTGAGAAGCCGCCTTTGTGTTTAGCACCATTATGCACCAAAGTGTAATGCTCTGTGATTTGAAGGTTACCCCAGTGAGATATTTCAATTTCTCTCACAAGTTCCTCAACCACAGCAAATGGATTGTTATTCTCAAAATGAACAAGTATAGGAGTGTATGAATATGGAGACTGGTTCTCATAAGGTCCATATTTCAACTCAGTACGTATTTGGGATGAAGGTTCCACTCTTGTAAATGACTCCACTTTAGTGCTTGGTGTTCTGATGACTGTTGTTTGTTGTTTAATTGCATATGGTGATAATATTAAAGCACTGTCACGGTATAAGACTAATTGGGGTTCTGATTGACTTATTTCTACAGGGAAAGGTTCAAGAGATTGGGTCAATATATATGATACTTCTATTGAGACAGATCCACCAGTTGTCAATGGATTCCTCAAAGAAATAGAGAAGAATTTGGCTCCATTTGGCCCATCAGCATGGTTGCTTGGTGTCACATCAAGTGGATGTACAGCTTTCTTCTTCTTTTTTCCAGTAAGTTCAGCAGCCTGGATCAGTGCTAGATGCTTCACTTGTGGTGGTGGAAATGCAAGAAGTACATTTTTAGCAGGAGATGCCCCATCATTTTGTACCTAGAATATCATATGCGATCATAATATAACTTTTAGATGTAATGTCAGATAAGTAGGTTTTATCTACACAGTTATAAGCTCAGAACTATATAATTAATGTGTGTCTTTCTTCTTCATTTGGAGGCATAACATATAATACAGGCAATAAGTTCGAGTAACAGAAGAGTACCTTCAAAGTCAAGACAACCCTAATAATGTGCGAAGCCAAATCAATCTGCACCAACATAAATCAACGTTATTAAAGCTATACATCCATACGAAAGATGCTAACAAAAATTAGGAAATAGAACAACAAATTCATAACCACAATATCATATCATGAGATGTAACACCTCAATCAGTTATAATCTCAATTCACTCGTCAATTACCAACTCGTCTTAAGAATTCGATCGTTTCGGGAATGCACTAGCAAGCAGTTAAAAATATCAATTTTTCCAATCTCTATCAATTTACATGGATCGACAAGGATGTGAAAATATAATGAGTGAATTTGTTACAGAAATGAAGGATTTTATTATGAGAAATCTTACTCTGCGTTCAGCGGTGAGGATCTGAAGCTCCGATGATGAAGATGTGAGTGAAGAAGACGATCCGAAGCTTAGGGAGAGCAAAGCGAGGAGTAAGGGAATTAGGGCTAAACGAGATCTGGCTACGAAAACCTCCATGTTCACCCTCGTTTTCTCTCACAGTAGCAGCAGAATTGACCCAAGTCGTCTGAAGACGATGATGTTTATGTTGGAATGAAACAGGTTATGGGCCGGGTTGCCACATGAAATCACTTATCTGAGCTGAGCTTACTTTATCCTACAAAATCCATATGATATTATTAATTGTAAGCTTAGGACTGTTAACGAAGAAAAATCTTTGAGTCCATTAGGATCGAGTTGGACTGTCGGAGTACGGGTTTTTGGTGTGCAGTCTAGCGGTCTAGGGGTGAGCATATGGATTTTGTAGGATAAAGTAAGCTCAGCTCAGATAAGTGATTTCATGTGGCAACCCGGCCCATAACCTGTTTCATTCCAACATAAACATCATCGTCTTCAGACGACTTGGGTCAATTCTGCTGCTACTGTGAGAGAAAACGAGGGTGAACATGGAGGTTTTCGTAGCCAGATCTCGTTTAGCCCTAATTCCATTACTCCTCGCTTTGCTCTCCCTAAGCTTCGGATCGTCTTCTTCACTCACATCTTCATCATCGGAGCTTCAGATCCTCACCGCTGAACGCAGAGTAAGATTTCTCATAATAAAATCCTTCATTTCTGTAACAAATTCACTCATTATATTTTCACATCCTTGTCGATCCATGTAAATTGATAGAGATTGGAAAAATTGATATTTTTAACTGCTTGCTTTCATTTCTCGGTTCCAGAAATTGATCAAAACTGGTCCGGTTTTTTACCGGTTTGGTCCGGTCCGTTCCGAATAAAAACCGGTTTTGGACCTGACTTAAAAAAAAAAATTCAAATCTATTTTCTAATTATCCTATCATTTTGACAATCTGACCAAATACCAATTGCATCCCTTTCTCTCATAACTTGTATGTACGACGACGAATAGAAAGGATATACAGCCTGTCGATGTAACCCTTCACGTACTTCACCTCTCCCTCTTGCAAGTCTCGCACGTCGCATAGAAAGAAGCAATACATAATTGATCACGTGGAGAAGACCACGTTTCGGAGTCGTTATGGTCATTACGTGTTCGTAGTGATGTCATTTGGGCTCACCAATACGCCTGCAGTGTTTATGGATTTGATGAATCGGGTGTACAGTCTGATGCTCGATCGATCAGTTATTGTGTTCATTGATTATATATTGGTGTATTCCAAGACTAGGGAGTAGCACGAGGAGCACCTTCGAGAGCTTCTTGGGATCTTGAGGCGAGAACGACTATATGCTAAGTTCTCGAAGTGTGAGTTTTGGTTACGAGATGTCCAGTTGTTGGGGCACCTCGTTAATCTGTAACGCCCGGTTCCCGGTACATATTTTTATTACAAGTTTTTGCATATTTACACAGGGACTCGACGAGTTGGAGGCCCAACTCGTCGAGTGGGTGCGAGTGATTGGACACGGGTGGAAAAGTCTACTCGCCGAGTCATAAGCCCCGACTCGACGAGTAGGCCTGTCTGGATGAAACCCCAAAATTTAGGGTTTGCACCCTATTTAAACAACTTATAGGGTCTCCACTCCAGCCTCCATCACCCTCAGACTCTCTTCACGAAACCCTAATCGAATATTGAGTGTTCTTGAGCTTTTTGTGCCATTTGTGTGTATTTGAAGCTTGAGAAGAAGAAGGAAGCTTGGGAGATCAAGAGAAAGCAAGAAGATCCAGAGGTTTTGGCACATTCCCAGCTCATTTGAGGTATAAAGCTGATACCTTGACTATTCATTTCTTAGATCTCCATTTAGGGCTATTTTCTACCTTTTCTAAGTCTTAGTGAATCCATATTCGGTATTGTAAGTATCCATGGAGTTGTACTACAAATCTTGAACCTTTAAGGGTTCCCATGGCATAAAGGTGCCAACTTTATGGCCATGGGAGTCTCATGCATCTTGTAGACTTCATTTTAGATTTGGAAATGGTGTTTTTGGCTCATGATGCCTTGCATGCACGTAAAGTTTGTAACTTTATGTGTAATATGGACCCTAGGAGGCTAGATCTATGTTCTGGATGAATTAAGACCGACTGAGATCGACTTGGTAGACTTGGACCATGGGGGACTCGGCGAGTCGCTCTTAGGACTCGGCGAGTCGGGTTATGGTTCCCCAACCTTTTCTGTTCTGATCGATCTGGTTGAGTATAGAAGAGAACTCAACAATATGGACTTGAAGATCGAGGAACTCGATGAGTTCAAGGCAATGTCCCAATGAATATGAAGAAGAAATCGACGAGTCAAGGAAAGAATCGGCGATTCAAGGACTAACATTCCAACCTGCATGAAGAAGGACTCGACGAGTTCAAGGATGAACTCGGCGAGTCATAGGCAAAAGGTCCCGATTCTGTATAAAGGAGAACCCGGCGAGTTCTTGAAAGGCTCGACGTGTAGGATTGAAGTCCCAGTGTTTTGTGGATTATGAAACTCGACGAGTTGGTGGACCAACTCGGCAAGTTGAGTCAACCAGATGTTTACTTTGACCAAAAGTTGACTTTGACCAAGGTGTTGACCTTAACTTTGACTTTGACCTGAGTTGACCCTTGAAGGGTCAAGAGTATGAGATAGTAATTAAGGAAGAATGTCATGTGTAGGAGTTTGAGAGGAGTTGATCCCAGCATCGAGGACAGTTCAGTTTTGGCACGACATTGAGGTGAGTTACCTTCCAGTAGAAGTGGGTCTACGGCCACAATGTCGGCCCACTAGTAGGAGTTGTTGAATAGATGATTGTCTTTGTGATAATTATCTAGGTTTGCTATTACTTGATATGTTTTATGTGTTAGCATGATATGAGGATATGTGATAGTAGCAGTAGGGGGAATAGTCCCCGTAACACGGTCGTAAGGACCTGAGGGTAGGTCGGGCACCCCATAATTGCATGACAGGGTAGGTCAAGCACCCCATAACTGCTTGACATGGGTAGGTCAGGCACCCCATAAATGCATGGCAGGGTAGGTCGGGCACCCCAGAATTGCCCGGCAGTATGTATGTTATATGGTATGTGGTATGATGGGGGAACTCACTAAGCTTCGTGCTTACAGTTTTCAGTTTTGTTTCATGTACCTCTTCAGCGAAGGGGAAGGAGCCGACATGGTAGCAGCGCATCGCACACATATGATTTCCGCATTTTGAGATCCATGGGATTGTACTCTGGCATTATTACTATTTTGATGATATAGTTTGAGACACGTGACTATGTTTTATGAAATGATATGAATCAATGATGTTTTTCAGTAAATTGTTTTACAAGTCACTTAATTAAAAACAAAATTTTTGGTCTTGAAAATTAGGAGGTTACATAATCAGGATGGAATTTTGGTCGATCCGGCCAAAATCGAGGTGGTTATGCAGTGAGAGCTCCCGAAGTCTCCTTCAGAGATCAAGAGTTTCTTGGGATTAGCAGTGTATTATGGTAGATTTATTCAGGACTTCTCTAAGATTGCAGTATCCTTCACTCGTATGACGAGGAAGGGCGTGGATTTCTGTTGGGGGCCTGAGCAGCAGGTTGCATTTGAGACGCTGAGGCAGAAGTTATGTGAGCCACTAGTGTTGACCATCCTTGAGGGTGTTGAGGACTTTATAGTATTTTGTGATGCATCCATCACCGGTCTGGGAGCGGTACTTACGCAACGTGGGAGGGTTATCGCTTATGCTTCTCAGCAGTTGAAGCCGTATGAAGTTCGTTATCCGACTCATGATCTGGAGTTAGGAGCAGTGGTGTTTGCTCTCAAAATTTGGTGGTACTATCTATACGAATCACAAGAGTCTGAGATATCTCATGGATCAACCGAATTTGAATATGAGGCAGCGTAGGTGGCTTGACGTGGTCAAGGATTATGACTGTAAGATTCTGTATCGCCCCCGGAAAATGAATGTGGTCGCTGATGCTTTGAGTCGCAAAATGGCTAGTTCCTCTATTGAGAGTCTGTGTATGAGAATATCGGTTGATTCTCCGCTTCTTGATCTAATTAGGGAGGCCCAGACCGAGGGAGTTAAGAAGGAGAATTGGAAGCAGGGGAGACTGTGCTGGAGGAGTCGCACAAGTCCAGGTTTTATTGACCCGATATGGACGGGTCTGGGTGCCAGACTTTGGTGGGGTCAGGCAGACTGTGCTGGAGGAGTCGCACAAGTCCAGGTTTTCGATACACCTCGGAGCCACCAAGATATATCGAGATTTAAGGCTTAGTTATTGGTGGTCATACATGAAGAGAAAGATAGCCTGGTATGTTGAGAGGGGCTTGACCTATCGGATAGTCAAGGTCGAGCACCAGAGGCCGCATGGAAAGATGCAACTAATGGAGGTTCCCATGTGGAAATGAGAACATATCACTATGGATTTCATCACAAAGTTGTCTCGGACGGCTAAGGGATTTGACACGATATGGGTTATTGTGGACCGTCTGACCAAGAGCGCCTACTTTCTAGCCATTCGAGAGAGTTCTTCAACTTATAAATTGGCCGATTTGTATGTGCGCGAGATTTTTGCTCGACACGGTAATCTAGTCTCCATTGTATTGGATCGAGATGTTCGGTTCACATCTCGTTTTTGGCAGAAGTTCCATGAGGAACTGGGTACGAGATTGCATCTTAGCACTGCTTATCATCCGTAGACTGACTGTTAGAGTGAGCGGACCATTCAAACACTTGAGGACATGTTGAGAGCCTGTGTCATAGACTTCGGTGGGAGTTGGGACTCCTACCTTCCCTTAGCCGAGTTTTCTCACAACAACAGTTATCACTCCAATATCGGTGTGCCGCCTTTCGAGCTTCTTTATGGGAGGAAGTGTCGTACCCCAGTATGTTGGGGAAAAATTGGTCGCAGAGTATTGGGAAGGACTGAGGTAGTCCTTCAGACGTCGGATCTCATCCAGTAAATTAGGCAGAGATTGCAGACAACTCAGACTCGACAGAAGAGTTATGCAGACAAGCGTCGATCTGAGTTAGAGTTTCAGGTCGGGGACATGGTTTTGCTGAAGGTATCACCCTGGCATGGTGTAATACGCTTCAGGAAGAGGGGAAATTGGAGCCCCGATATATTGGGCCATTTCGGGTGATTGCCAGGGTTGGCAAGGTAGCTTATATGTTGGATTTTTTCGAGGAGCTCAGTCAGATTCACAGCGCATTCCA